ATTAGATATAAGATGTGTACGTGTACACATTTAAAAAACTGTACATGTACAAGTCATATATTTCAGAAAAGGAAAGGGCTTCTGGAAGTTTAACAATGCACTTCTTTTTGACAAGATATATGTAGATGAAGTTAAAAAATGCATAAGAGGGATTAAACTTGAATACGCATTACCTATATATAATATGGAGGAAATAGAAAACATAGAACCTGCATGCTATCAGTCAATTATTAATGACCAACTTTTTTGGGAAATTATTTTGTTGAAAATTCGTGCTGTTACTATAACCTACAGTGGCCATAAAAAGAAAAGAAATAAGGAAAAATTTGACAGGATTGATAGACAAATAAAAATATTGAGGAAATGTTGAGTGACAAGCCTAACACTATTTTGGAAGAAATTTTAACCGAATTGAAAAATGATCAAGAAAATATGAGAAACGAGTATATGAAAGGACTAATTACTAGAGCGAGAGCTCAATTGGCTGAAGAAGGGGAAAAGACCACAAAATACTTTTGCAATATGGAAAACTATGTAAATAAGAATGCAACAAGACTTATAGATTTTGTTGGTGGGGAGATATTAGAACAAGAAAATATACTTAATAAAATAAAGGAATTTTACAATAAACTCTACGCAAGTAGAGAGGACAAAATTGAAAATGTTAATTTAAATTAAACGAAGAAATTAAAAATAGGCTAGACTAGGAAATTACATTAGAAGAGGTAGGTAGGTCAATAAAAAATCTCAAAAATGGAAAAAGCCTAGGACCGGACGGTTTCACAGCCGAATTTTACAAATTTTTCGGGTCTGATATTTTTTTATTTTTTTTTAAATCTATTAATATGGGAACTGAAAGGGGAAGCTTTCAGTAACACAAAAACAAGGGGTGATTATTATACTACCAAAAGGAAATAAACCAAGGGAATACATCAAGAACTGGCGTCCTATATCTTTATTAAATTTATCATATAACTTCAAATTGTTTAGCTTACCGCCTAAAAGAAATCATAAATGAGTTGATACATGAAAACCAGAAAGGTTTTTATTAAAGGAAGATTTATTGGTGAAAGTATTAGGCAGCTATACGACATTTTACAATACACATCAGAAACAGACAAACCAGGCTTGTTGGTATTAGTAGATTTTGAGAAGGCTTTCGACTCCATAGCATGGAGCTTTATAAACAAAGTAAAAAAATAAATCAATTTTGGTGAATATTTAATAAAAATGATACAAACTTTAACTAGAAATGCTAGTCTGTGTGTAATACAATATGGTGTTTTATTCAAAAATCTTCCCTATAGACCGGGGCTGTAAATAGGGTGATCCGATTTCCCCATATTTGTTTATACTGTGCGTCGAGATTTTCGGTATTATGATTAGAAACAATAATGATATAAAGGTTACTAAAAATAAAAATAAATATTGAAACAAAACTTTCACAATATGCTGATGATACAGGTATCACTACAGATGGAACGGCTAAATTTCTCAGAACTGCACTTAATCTACTGGATCAGTATACAAAATACTCAGGTTTAATGCCAAATATTGACAAAACGAAATGTATACGGACTGGCAGTAAAGCTCATAATAATAATACAGAAACAATAATACATTTATTTTATGAATGTAGAGTAGTCGCTAGCTTCTGGGAAGATATCAAGCAATGGCTGTACACAAAAACCAATTAAATCATAGAACTGAATAATAATGATGTCATATTTGGAAAAGCAGCACATAAACAGGATATTAATGCTCCAATAAGTATTTTGCTGATTGCTAAAACCACATTTATAAACAAAAAATAAAAATAAAATAAATCCTTTTTTGCAATAGGTATGTATTGGTACTCCAGTTGTAATAGACATAGCAACATATATAATCGATCACAAGTATATCTTTGCTCTTCAATGTAGAATCTGAGTTCAACAAATATATGGTCAAATTGAAACATTCTTCTCTCGCATAGAGGTACTCCATTGTAAAATTTGTGTTGTCATTGTCATTATATTATGCAAAAAGGAAAATAAAAACGTGTCAAATCAAAAAAAAGTCATATACATATTACTAATGTGACTGCTAGACTTCACTAGTCGAGATGTCCTGATATAGTTTAATGTCATATGCCATTCTTTGCACACTCCACCATCAAACAATTAACGAAATGCAGATAAATAACATCATTACAGGTCACAGGCTTTCCATTAATGTCCTACCTATGAGATACCTATGAGGTTAGAGCAAGCGATTGGCTGAAACGATAACTCGAGATAGTGTGAGCACCCATATGTGACTTTCCGCATAAACAGATACACACAGGTAGGTCACATTTAATACACGGGGTACGTAATAGGACGATGAACTACAGTGTGTGTACAGCTAGTCGCAGGTGAGAGATCTTTTGTACTTATCGCGGAGGTCATTGACCTTAGTGTTTTTGTAAGAAGCTACATGTAGTGCTGACTTGGTAACATGATAGAGAATGTCAATGGGAAAATTGTAATCTTACTCCACGTGCGGTGCTTAATGTAATGTAATAATTAGCTAGTTTGTCACGTTATTAGATGTGTTATTGCATTGAATATATTTGTGTTACGTTGATGTTATCCAGTACATGATCAATAGCATGAAACTTGTTCTGGTGAACTTAAATCTTTGTAAATTTGGTACGTTATCATTATTAGAAATGGCCATACAACAGACACGGTAAGGGATACAAAATAGTTTCACAAACACAAAATCATACATATTACATTACTTTTAGCAAATATTGAAAACAAAACCATACATAGCGCGATATTAGCATATACCACGTGACTGGGTATAGCATTTGTTTCACCGTATGTATATGTCTTGGCGTATATAGTTATGTAAATGATACATAGGTACTGTATGGATTTGGTTCTTATGCAATACCACATTCTATATACTTGTTCAACTTGCGTTTCATTAGACTAACATTTCAAATATAAGGCGGTTTATATGAATTATATTTCATAGGTCCATGATAGCAATATGTCACGAAAGAAAATAGCAATGTTCCTCACAGCAAGAAATCACAGACGACGTTGGTTAAGCATTTAACCAACATACATCCTATGGCGATATATAGTCACCAAAACATGGTGCAGTACAATGAATATGTCACCAATGCGACTCCATACCATATAATCGAATATTTCAATAATATGTTTATATATGTGGTTAAACTTTGATACCGTCTTATATTTATCACACTGATTTTTTGTTTGCGATTTTGAAAGTGAGAACGAAGCGATCACACAACCTTTACAATTCTTACCTTGTTTTTCACAACTCGCCAATGTGTTTCAGGTAAAACAAACAAAAGCCTTTCTTCAGCCGAATGTGAAAAATATCTTGTAACCAACCACAAAATATCTATTCAAACAGAACTTTTCTCGTATGACAAAAGAAATTTTGATCACAGTTATTATTTCACAAACAGATGCATCGTTTCTGACTAATACAAATGCATAGCCAGAGTAGCTCTACCTATGAGCCTTACACGTGCACTGTACATTGAAGAAATTTGACGTTATCTGAGGTCATGGTAATGTATATTTCTAAGCACTTTCTTCATGTTGGTAAATGTGGATTGAGAAAAGAACCATGTAGCACACCCAATAAGTGTTTATGTGTGACGTTTAGATTTGCGTGGACAACTCGTACATATTTTAAACCTTTATTTACATACGCTTCAATAGTCATTTGTCTGATATACCATACTTGTAATTAAAACGTCATATATGAACACCTATTGGTTGTGCTACATGAATCTTTTCACAATGATAATGTATACATTTATTTTCAGAGAACCTTGTTTTGTCTCCGACTTTTTGTTCATGCAGTCCTTCCTTTGGATAATTCCTTTGTTGTCTTTCCATTTTGATTTGTTTAATTTTTCATTCTTCATTTGTTTTATTAGGATCACAAACAACCCATATAATACGAATGGTTCTTTTTCCCTTTTGTGGTAACCCTGAGTTTAATTCATCTTTCGTAATATATTCAAACTACTTGTTATTTTCGTTAAAGTCTCGACGAGTAATTTAAAATCAGGAAGGATAGTGATTCAAATTGTCAGTGTTCGGGCCTCAAATAATATTATACGGATGAGGTTTATATTCTGCTCGCTAAACCCATAACCCAGCGGTCGTATACCTTCCTATTGACAACAATAACGATGTAAACGTTATCTTAATGTTTACCAACTAAGGATCAGATGATGTTATTCTAATGATTGACATTGTATTTTAATTTATTTAATTCCCGCCCAACAGAACTTAATTGGCTTCACTTAATTCAGTGTTAAAACACGGAGTTCTTCAACTAAAACATTTAATGAAATTGCCACTGTGCCATTGACAATTTTGTATATAAATCTTTCAACTGAATCATCGATTATTGAGAGAATTCATTGAAGGAGCAATATACAAATAATGCATCTCATTTACGTGTTCTTTTCTATATAAAAGGTAAAGCTAATAACAGATTTTACCTGGTGTACATTATCGCTACATGATTCATATCACGTGACAACTACCCGCTTCGCCATCGGTGTTCTTAATCTAGGTTTAAACCACCATGTGGTATCTTAAGAGATCGATAAATCTATATGTAATGTTTAAATGTCCCATGACAAAAAGTTCAGCAAAACATTTTAAAACGCATAATTTAAAACGATTGCATGAAAATGTTTCTGCTATTCTTAACAAGTCGGGTCATTCAATTCCCGTTGAAACAAGTGGTTTCGAATTCAGTGACATACAAGAAGGTAATAAATACTGTATTTTTCAGGTTAGGGCTAAGTCTAGATAAAACCGTTTAAACAAGTGAAGGACACTGGATAAAAATAGTTGTTACTATTGCACAGATTGTGATGGTATGACTCGTCATGCTTGTCCAAGGTGAATGTCCTATCTACCAGTGAGTATGGCTAACCTTTCTTCTTTTCTTCTTTTATGAGGCATGTGCTCACAGCGGTGGTAAGGTTAGTGCCTTCTTTCTAATCTTTACAGTTACAAATGATATTTTCATTGCTGTTTTATACATCAAATATTTGATTAATTTAAGTATTCATTTTTCCTCTGCAGTTTCATATAGATTTATTTTATTGTGTTCTACGTTTACAAGATTATTTTCTGTTGGACTTTTTTTAAATGCATTCTTGTGTATCTTCTCTCATTTAACTCTTAAAATATTAACAGTTTCATTCATTGAACACATGTTGGGGATTAAAATATCAATTTCCATGCACTAGTTACAACCTATTACACAGCAAGAAAACCCATCATATAAGTAGTTTTTCCTTTTTATATATAAATGTACACAATTATTTCCCCGTTAATTACATGTGAACACATGTATCACCCGAGTGCTGTACAATACGTTTTTTCTTTATATCAGATACAGCACTGTTTGGTAATGATGTAAACATACTTTTAAAAGCCTACCATTAACTATTTATGGTATACATGTCAAAATTGAATAAGATAATAGAACAAAAAAACAATGGCATCGTTTCTATGCTTTCCACCTCAACCAAGGGTTCCTCATGATACTGTGTGCGGTGATACTTTCATAACAAAGTATCTCAAGATAGCAACTATTTTATAACACAATTTTCACATAAGCTTTCAAATCATAAACAAATTGGTTGTCTATAATGCATGACAATAATCTGAACTTTTGTATAAAAATCAGCCGAAAGGTCGTAACATTTCTTTAGTTTATGAAATGCTTGACTAGAATTGTAATATTTTGGTGTCAAAATATGACGTAACTAAGTACACCATATGGATTCAGACAAGGAGGAGTGTGTTTGTTTGGGGTTAAACGTCTCTGCAATAGATACATATAAAGGTTACTTGAAGCCGGATACCTTGGAGATATCACCGCAAAGACAGAGTAGGGAAATGAGAACAAGGTTCCGAAACGTTGCTATGGGGATAGCAGATCAGATTTGATTTCTTCTGTGTTTTAAATATTGAAACAAAATAATTGTTTCAAGCATTTATTATCTCATGTAATCTAACACTAATACAAAACAATTGCACAAAGCTACACAATTATGAAATCAAATTGATTATGCATGTTCATTCTCTTCGAGAAATAGTTGTAAATGGAATATATAAGACGGACACTTTTTAAAAAAACAAGAGGCCCAATGGGGCTGCATCGCTCACCTGGTATTAATTTCATACTTGTAATCTTAAAAGTGGACTAAAATACAGCAGAAAATCAGTGTTTGATTCATAAGAACCTATTAAAAGATTTAANATAAAAAGTTGACGCCGGACAGACGGACGACGGACGGGCGGACGGGCGGACGACGGACGCCGCACCATGGTATAAGCTCACTTGCCCTTCGGGCTAAACATGGTATGGTTTATGACATTTTTAATTTAACAACATTTATGAAACAAATGTGTTCAACTTCAAATAATAAGTCTTTTTTTCAGACTTGGTAGAAGGTCTTTTGCTTTTAAACATATTGAAAAGTAAGATGAAATATGGAAACAAGAGGCCCGAGGGCTTTAGCGGTCACCTGAGTTATATCATATAGGTACTGGTAGCTTTATTGTATTGTTTAGATGTGATGTGGAATACTTGTCATGTCATCAAAGGATAAGAACTTTAAAATATTGGTAAATGTTCCCTTTGGGGCCCCGCCCTAGCCCCTCGAGATGGGGCAGGAATTCCAAAAGTGTTATTTCCCTATATAAACTATAGTAAACTTTACCCCCTCCCACAGGGAGAAGGGATGACCTGGGGGTCCTGAAATTTACAATTTAAATAAAGCCCCTGATGATCTTTCCATCCATGCAGAGACAATGAATGTAGTGCAATGTTGTAGCGTCATCTACCAAGGATGATTCTGACCAAGTTTGAAAAATTCCATCCACTGGTTCTTGAGAAGTTGAAAATGTAAAACGTTTACGCACGGCGGACGACGCACGACGACGGACGGAAAGTGATCGGAATAGGTCACTTGAACAGATGAATTGACAATGCGTAGCCGTTAACTCTATTGAGTCAACACATTCTTTGTAAATAATAATAAGCTAAAACAGCAAGTAAACATTGCGTGATAGAAACACAACAGCCTTGATATGATATCTCAGTGTGAAGTATGATTTTGTTGTACAAGTTAATCATTTCCAAGGACGTCGCTTTCGGGTATGATCACACGTGTGAAATTATAGCTTTGTTTTCAACTGCACTGACGTCCTGTGTATTTAGAAATACGTAATATATTACCACAAAAATATTTTTAAACATATATTGTAAACAACTCACATTTACGATTGTATAACAACACATATATACATATATATTGACGTCACAAAAATACCCGCCAGCAAATCTGATACATATTTTCCGTAAGACAGCGGTCATCTAGACCTGTTGCTCTGGTAGTAACTTATCACTGCTACTACAGACCACCATCCAACATACTGAATATAAACCTAATGCATACGATCTTATGATTGCCAGCTTGTTTGAAAACTTAAACGTGATGTAATTGAGGTATTTTCTCACAACATAATAAGGAAATGAGTATGAAAAACAAATTAAGGATTCTACTTATCGACAAGTTAATATAAAAAGGCCATTGTGTTATTATAATATTACAATATCCTTCTTGCATCTTTTGTAGTTATTTGCATGTTTTTTACTCAACGTGTGCGTCTTAGGTTATGATTATAAAATTATTCGCATGATACTTCGCGATCAATGGATAACGCGAATTTACGCAACAATTAATATTGAAATAATCTACAACATACTAAAGAATTTGAGAAAAAGTTGCGATGTTAACAATGCTTACCACTACGTTACCTGTAGGCTATTGACACAGATGTTTAAATATCAAACTGCAGGCAATGGGATAGATATGCAGGCATGATTTACATATATTTCTGTCACAGAATGTATAGAAGCGCCTACTGAATTTACTGAATACCAAAATACTATGTCAAGGTGAATGATCCATTGGTTTGTTTTAAACATCTTAACTCTCTGGATATCAACGAACGACGGGGGTCATCGTTCTTAAGTTTAAAATACACGCCATTCAGGTAATGACGCACTTCTCACACTGAGAAACTAATTCTTAGCTTAGTCAACTTAATTTGGCTATGAATTTGATTACCGATGTCCAAAAGCATTGCAAACACATTCGACTATTTACATAAACTAGTAAATTAAATCAAGGACAACATGTGTACCTCTTATCTTTTAGGAGACCATTGGGTTTTTTTCAAGAGACGTTCCTGAAAGTTTATATGTATTTCATATGGATATCAGCCTTACACTAACATGACTTTATCGAGAATCTTGTGCCTTTATATATTATTGAAATTAACAGAGCGGAGATTTAACAGCTATCAGTGACCTGAGCAGTGATGTGAAATATATAAATCGTCAAGCCTTAATATAAATATTAGTGTGGATGTACCAAGCAGCGTACCCTCATCACAAAATGGAGATTCTTAACATACCAATTGGAGAAAGGATTCTGGAGCACAAGGTGTTTGAGGGCAGCAAATTCCCAGACATTTGTCCTGGAAATGTGTCCGACCATTTGGAGAAGATCCGGAATATGGAATGTCGTCATGATGATGTTTTTATTATGTCATACCCCAGAAGCGGTAAGATATTTAAGATATTGAAAACATACTATCTAAGAAATGGGAAGATAGTAAAAATATTGAATGAATACCTTAATAGAGGTAAGATAATAGGATTTAAATATATGTACTAGAGAACGCAACAAGATTGTAAAATCACACAATATGTACCATATGTTCACGGAAAGCGAGTAAAATCATAATATGCATACACTGTACTCTGGAATGGTTAAGTAGTAAAAATGAAGTCAACATACGCAAGATTGCGGTAGATGAGTACACATACCTGAGATGTATAGTAGACATGTGGTAGGCATATATATACATACTATTAAACCGGCATGCTAGCCTAAATAAAGTATAGATGTGTATAATGATATCTTATACATATTTATTTATTTATTTCCAATTCAACAGACCCAAGGGTCCACTAACAGAATGGATAACAACATTACAACACAAGTATAAAATATCAGTCAGTTATGCATGTAACACAGACTAAAAGATACTCATATGTAAAACAAAAGGAATTAGTGATAGCAAATATTCTTTAACCGTACTTTGAACTCGGCGAGAGAGGAACAAAACATATCACAGTCTGGTGCAAAAACAAGATAGTTAAAATTACTTTGAATCCTGTTTAAAATAGTATACTTTCTAACGTTTATTCTACTTCTCTGGCAGTAAAACTGGTTAAAACGAATTGATCGTAGATTACGACCAGGGACTAAAAAACACATTTGCTTGACTAAATATGGACAATCAAAAGCACTATTAACACATTTGTAAAGAAATACACAGTCTAAAAATGCCCGCCTATGTTCGAGGCTAGGAAGATTAAAATGCCTACAAGTGTCAGCGTAAGACATGGAATTGTAGTCAACGTGTGCCTTAAAACATAAAAATGTCAAAAACTTACGCTGGACAACTTCGACCAGGTGAATTAAAGATGTTTGGTAAGGAGACCAGATCTGACAACAGTATTCTAACTGACTCCTGAAAAGACTTATATATAGAGACCTTAAAACAGGTATTTGTTTAAAACTGTTACATGTACGTTTTATAAAGCCTGGCATTCGCATTGATTTGGAAGCAGTACGTCTAATGTGGGTACTAAAACTCATTGAAGAGGTCAGCCAAACACCAAAATCTTTCACACACCATTCATTCTTCAGGTTGTCACCGTTCATAGTGTAATTAAAATTCATACATTTCTTCTTGTTTGTAAAAATGACCTGGCAGCACTTCTTTACATTCACTTTCATTTTCCACACAGTGCACCAATCATACACTCTTTCTATATCGCTCCGTAGCTGCTCACACACAGACAACGTTCTTACACACTTAAAAAAATTGCTGTCATCGGCAAACATAAGAGATTTAGAAAATTTCAGAATAGATGGCAGTTCATTGATAAAAATAAGGAAAAGTTTACAGACGGTTGTTATCTAATGTACATGCCAGTGATAATTGATTCAGGGATAATTTTATGATATTGACATTTGATTGACGTCAACTCTCATCTAAATGTTGTTCTCTTTCCTATTTGAGTTCTGTCTTCGTCTATGTGGGTTAATGTTGGTTTCTATATTATTTTTCTATATTATTTTGTCCTTAAAAGTTTGCAAGCGGTAAAACTGATCTAATGGTATCAATTAATAATTCACTGTGTCCTTTGTTCATGAAATACATTGCAACATGCATTATTTATCAATGTCTTTTTTCCTCCTATTTTTTCAGGGACACATTGGTTAAGAGAAATCGTCGCCATGTTGATGAAGGGCAAAGCGGAATACATAGTAAATGATAACATTGACTTCCCTTTGGAACTTTTGGATATGCATACTATCGAGAACGAGGCCTCCCCAAGGATTTTCTATTCTCATATGCCGTTTCGTTATTTGCCGCGGGATCATTTGGCGAGGAATGGGAAAGTGATCGGATGTTTTCGAAATCCAAAGGACGTCATGACGTCAGCTTTTCATTTCTTCAATAACGTTTCATTTGAGGTTGAGTGGGATATTTACTTCAATGTTTTACTGGAGGGAAATGGTGAGTTGTACACAAGTGAAAAACAATTGATTTCGACTGGAATATACTATTTACCTGGAATCATTGTGGTCATTCAAACAATAACGAACATATATATCATATACATAATGAGCATTTGTGTTATGTAGTATTGTTCTAATGGTTATTCGAGCACCTTTTTTTTTTTATATATAAAAAGATTTACTTTCTTAGTTATGGTATGCTGATTTATGTCCTTTCTGGGAATAGAGGGGGAAATGTGTATTGTCTTCTTTGACAGTTAGCACAGCAGTTTTAACACTAAAAATGTAATAGACACTTTCACAATCATAGCAGTTATATTTTTCAAATTGTCTGTTAAAAAAACCACCAAACAATAGTCCATTATGCTTACAAAGATGTTCTTAACAGAAATGTGTTCCTTAAATTGAATTGTTCTCAAATTTACTGACCTGTTCATATTTAACCAAGTATAAACAGAAATACATATATATATGTATGTAACTGCACATCAAATATGAAATATTGAAATAGGTATCAATGTAAACACGTCACAACATGATATCCGGATTTCGAAATTGCTATGGCAGTTCCTTATTTTGGTTTGGACTTTATTGCAATATTTGAATATGTACCAATCTTTTATCGTAGATATAATCTTATCGTAAAATCAATTTTGAAATATAGTATACGCTGAATGTTTATGATATCAATACAATAAAATTGTTGACCAATCTGGATTTATATTTTCTCTAGTCGTGTATCGTTTATCATTTTCTTTGCTTACATTTTAAACTTGAAGATGGAGTATGAATAGGTGTCCGTTTCTTTGTTTTCCTCGAGGTCCGTACGGCTGTTGGTTTGCCTGGAGAGATCAATGGGAGAAGACTTTGGATCAACAGACAGAAATGCAGCCCCTCACACTAACGTACGAGGATACCAGCAGGGTAAATGCATATCAAAACAATATGTTCATTTAATATAACCATTTCAAAATATGATTTATCGTGGCAAGATAATTTCAAAATTGTATGTAAAATATATAATTTTAAACCATGTATGTATCATTTTTAATATATAAGCCTTTGATAGAGTTTTTTGGAACTAGTGATTGTTTATATATCTTGGAAAACCGTGGAATTGTCTTTGTTTTCACCAATATACTTAAAATTGTTTTGTTCTTTTTTATTCCTGGGATGTAAAAAATACATTTTTTGTTCAACTTTATCAGGAAAAAAATGACAATGATATTTTTCAATTTTCAAATAAGACATATGGATATCTTTATGAAATATTTCTTGTCCCCTGATTATTAGGATTTATAAATTTTGAATACAGAGTATAATGATAACAATATTTTATTTTTAGTAAAAACTAGCAATAAAAATGTGGCAAACATGTACAGACTTACGTCATCATACAGCTTTCATGTATTCCGTCTTTGCATATTGCAGAGTTATCTTCTCTTGGGAGGAGGTATTGATTGTTCCGTCATTGGTTTGTGTGAGAAAATTACGTCATTTTCTCAAAAATTGATGACGTTACTCTCACAAACAAGTGACGTAACAATCAATACCTGCTCCCAAGAGAAGATAACTCTGCAATACGCAAAGACGGAATACCTATATTAAAAGTTGAATTATGGTTTCTGAACGAATTATGATCTGTATCTACAACCGTTGAAAACGTTTGTATTAAGAATTTAGAAGGACAAGTGCGCAGAATCGCTGAATATCTGGGCGTGACCTACACCGACAACTTGATAGCGGACATCACATATGCGTGTGAGTTCAACAACATGAAATCTGCAAAGAGTCAAACAAAATCGAACATGATGAAAAGAATAAAAGATGCCGTTCAGGACTTGGAGAATACTTCATCAGAGGACATCAACAAAAACAGAGGGGGACACAACACAATTATTCGAAAAGGTTTGAAATAAAAAACATTAAGATGTCTTGATGAATTTGTAACAACCGGTCCTATTCTCATTTAACTTTTTCAGTGGTCACCATTTAAGTCTTACATTCTCACAATTTCCCTAGATTAATCGATTATAGGTTTGATTTACAGTTTGGTTGACACTGCGGAATTTCTCTACTTTATTTATTGATTATTTTTTATTTATATGTTTATTTATTTCTGTTGACACATTGATTATTTTTATTTATATCTTATTTTAATTATTTGATTATTTATGTATTTATTTATATATTTGAGGGCTATTAAAGGAAGAAAAATTAGATACGTCCTTGACCCTGTTATTTCATGAAAAAAATAAAATGTTACCGTACTTAATGAAGCGATATACTCTTCTGTTATGCGCTAACAAATGTACTGTGCTAAATATATACCAACGGAAAAAAGTACCGCAATGTTGGTTTTGGTCTTATAACTTCAATATTTGATGACTAAATTCAGTGCAATTTGGTAGGTAACCCGTAACCAAGCAAACGCAGCTTGACCACAATTGCGCTTAGGTTTGAAATACATTCAAGTAGCGTTATATGATATTTGATCAATGAATGTTTAAGCAAATATTGTTATGGTCCTTTAACACTCATTGCTATTAACTTAATCAATCTCGTTTTCGTATCGCCTATTTATCGTTACTGTGCTAAATGCACTGTCTTTTGTAATCTATTCATGTATATAATATGTATTTTTGTCATCGTTTCAGGGACAGTTGGAGATTGGAAAACGCTTTTTACGATGGAACAGAGACAAAAACTCAACACATTATATAAAAATCGGACAACACCTGGCAGTAGATTAGATTTCAAGGACTACCTTGAAGACGACTAATGAACAATATCAATATTTATGTACTGTTATTTATGCATTGTTTTTAAACGGTTATGAATTCACTTCGCGTTTTCCATTTAAGTTTAACTGTGACTGATCCCAGATAGCGAAAATCACTTATATTTCGCAAATTCCACAGCGAAACAAAAGGAGAGCGAAAATTATTCAGATTCCGAATTCGCTGTCCTGCTGTTACTTCCACATGAAAATATCATGGCTACACAGAGAATATTGTAGTAAAACACGTTACCAGGACCGAGTGCTATGAGGCCGTATTGTAGGTTTGCTTTATATATTGATATATACATATATATATTTACATTTGCCCCCGCGCCGTCCCATTACAACAGTGTTACAGGGCAAGTGTAATTATATAGGCTATAATTACAACTGCTCGACTATAACTACAACTGCCTGTTTCAGTTGTAGGAATATGTAAACAAACAAAATGGCCGCCTGAAATGTATTTTGAGGCAGGGCAAATGGTTTTTGTAGGAATATGTCTTAAAAAAGAAAAAGATGTAAATATAAAAAATACCTGGTTGTCTGGATGTAATTATTGTTGATATAATTACAAGTGGCCTCTGGGATTTGCCAAAGGCCACTTGTAATTATATCAACAATAACTACATCCGACAACCAGTTATTGTTTAAATAATCAGAAAAATGTTCCATGTCTTTTTGATGGTTAAATATACAAAACAAATGACAAGAGTTTTTAGTACCTCCCTAGCGCTTTCACCTATATAGAGGTTCATCGGGGGAAGCAGTTCATTTGTTTGTATATATAAATATATATTATAAAAATGTATTATTACTACTATACCGTATATAGAATTTGTGAACCGAGTGTTATATAAACAACTAAAATGCATAATAAATTCTACGATTACCAAGGGTTGTTTCAATGTCGAAACTAATATTTTACATAGACCGTGTGATATTTATCATAGCTTTACAATTATAAAATTTATGAAAGTTTTTAGCATTGTGAATTGATATTTCAGTTGTCTGGATGGACCAACTAACTCGGTGGATATGTATTTCAATAATGTTTAATATAATTACCAATTATGACAGCAATCCTCAATTGATATTATATCAAATTAGTATTATATGCACTCCATACATTAATCTAGGTTATTTATTTCGAAATGAAATTCTGAGAATTGATTTTCTTTTCTTTAACGTTTCATTATCATTAAACGTCTTCTATTTACAATAATAACACAACAATTTCACAATCAATTATCTAATATTGCAGATATTTTTTTTTTTTTTTTCATCATTTGAATTTGTTTCATTTTCCATTCACAGTCATATTACATCACTATCATTCATGACCTACATCAACGTGTGTGTACTTAAGGAATGACCAAGATTTTGTTTTGGTATACGGTATATACCGAAACAAAATTGTGCACTTTGCATAAATCCGCGAAAAAGAGCACAATTTATTTTCGGTATATACCGTATATACCAAACCGAAATCTTGGGCATTCTTTATAATTTAATTTAAAAATAGTAGACAAACACGTTGTAAATGGACAGTTAAAGATTTATTTAATATTTTCGTAAACTAAACAATTGCGCTAAAAAAAAAGCTGCGTTGTAATTTTGCATTCTGAAGTGTAAAAAGTAGTTCCGTCATCAGTTGTTTTTCTTTTTAGGTATATACGATATATACCAAACACAATAGTATGGGGTAGATAGGCAAAATTAAATTATTATGTAGTGTCAGACATACATCAACGTGTGTGTACTATGTAGTGTCAGACATACATCAACGTGTGTGTACTATGCAGTGGGAGATGTCATCAACGTGTGTGTACTATGTAGTGGGGGATGTACATCAACGTGTGTGTACTATGTAGTGGGAGATGTACATCAACTTGTGTGTACTATGTAGTGTCAGACAGACATCAACGTGTGTGTTCTATGTAGTGTCAGACATACATCAACGTTTGTGTACTATGTAGTGGGAGATGTACATCATCGTGTGTGTACTATGTAGGGGGAGATGTACATCAACGTGTGCGTACTATGTAGTGTCAGACATACATCATCGTGTGTGTACTATGTAGTGGGAGATGTACATAAACGGGTGTGTACTATGTAGTGTCAGACATACATCATCGTGTGTGTACTATGTAGTGGGGGATGTACATTAACGTGTGTGTACTATGTAGTGTCAGACAGACATCAACGTGTGTATACTATGTAGTGTCAGATCAACGTGTGTGTACTATGCAGTGGGAGATCTCATCAACGTGTGTGTACTATGTAGTGGCAGATGTACATCAACGTGTGTGTACTATGTAGTAGGAGATGTACATCAACGTTTGCGTACTATGTAGTGTCAGACATACATCATCACGTACGTACTATGTAGTGTCAGACAAACATCAACGTCTGTGTACTATGTGGTGTCAGACATACATCAATGTGTATGTACTATGTAGTGTCAGGCATACATCAACGTGTGTGTACTATGTAGCGTCCGACATACATCAACGTGTGTGTACTATGAAGTGTCAGACATACATCAACGTGTGTGTGTGTGTACTATGAAGTGTCAGACATACATCAACGTGTGTGTACTGTGTAGTGTCAGACATACATCAACGTGTGTGTGTGTGTACTATGAAGTGTCAGACATACATCAACGTGTGTGTACTGTGTAGTGTCAGACATACATCAACGTGTGTGTGTGTGTACTATGAAGTGTCAGACATACATCAACGTGTGTGTGTGTGTACTATGAAGTGTCAGACATACATCAACGTGTGTGTACTGTGTAGTGTCAGACATACATCAACGTGTGTGTGTGTGTACTATGAAGTGTCAGACATACATCAACGTGTGTGTGTGTGTACTATGAAGTGTCAGACATACATCAACGTGTGTGTACTATGCAGTGTCAGACATACATCAACGTTTGTGTACTATGTAGTGGGAGATGTACATCAACTTGTGTGTACTATGTAGTGTCAGACAGACATCAACGTGTGTGTACTATGTAGTGGCAGATGTACATCAACGTGTGTGTACTATGGAGTGTCAGACATACATCAACGTGTGTGTACTATGAAGTGTCAGACATACATCAACGTGTGTGTACTGTGTAGTGTCAGACATACATCAACGTGTGTGTACTATGCAGTGGGAGATCTCATCAACGTGTGTGTACTATGTAGTGGCAGATGTACATCAACGTGTGTGTACTATGGAGTGTCAGACATACATCAACGTGTGTGTGTGTGTACTATGAAGTGTCAGACATACATCAACGTGTGTGTGTGTGTACTATGAAGTGTCAGACATACATCAACGTGTGTGTGTGTGTACTATGAAGTGTCAGACATACATCAACGTGTGTGTACTATGTAGTGTCAGACAGACATCAACGTGTGTATACTATGTAGTGTCAGACATACATCATCATGTACGTACTATGTAGTGTCAGACAAACATCAACATGTACGTACTATGTAGTGTCAGACAAACATCAACATGTACGTACTATGTAGTGTCAGACAAACATCAACATGTACGTACTATGTAGTGTGAGACATACCTCAACGTGTGTGTACTATGTGGTGTCAGACATACGTCAACATGTGTGTACTATGTAGTGTCAGACATCCATCAACGTGTGTGTACTATGTAGTGTCAGACAAACATCAACGTGTGTGTACTATGTAGTGTCAGACATACATCAACGTGTGTGTACTATGTGGTGTCAGACATACGTCAACATGTGTGTACTATGTAGTGTCAGACATACATCAACGTGCGTGTACTATGTAGTGTCAGACATTCATCAACGTGTGTGTACTATGTGGTGTCAGGCATACGCCAACATGTGTGTACTATGTAGTAGGAGATGTACATCGACGTGTGCGTACTATGTAGTTGGAGATGTACATCAACGTGTGCGTACTGTGTAGTGGGAGATGTACATCATCGTGTGTGTACTATGTAGTGTCAGTCATACATCAACGTGTGTGTACTCTGTAGTGTCAGACATACATCAACGTGCGTGTACTATGTAGTGTCAGACGTACATCAACGTGTGTGTACTAAGTAGTGTCAGACATACATCAACGAGTGTGTACTATGTATTGGGAGATGTACATCAAGATTTATATGTAGTGTCAGACATACATTAATGTGTATGTACTATGTAGTGTCAGACATTCATCAACGTGTGTGTACTATGTGCTGTCAGACATACATCATCGTGTGTGGACTATGTAGTGTCAGACATACGTCAACATGTGTGTAATATGTAGTGTCAGACATACAGCAACGTTTGTGTACTATGTAGTGGGAGATGTACAACGTGGGAGATGTCATCCACGTGTGTGTACTATGTAGTGGTAGATGTACATCAACGTGTGTGGACTATGTAGTGTGAGACATACATCAACGTGTGTGCACTATGTAGTGGGAGATGTACATCAACATGTGTGTACTATGTAGTTTCAGACATACATCAACATGTGTGGATTATGTAGTGTCAGACATACATCATCGTGTGTGGACTATGTAGTGTGAGACATACATCAACGTGTGTGCACTATGTAGTGTCAGACATACATCATCGTGTGTGTACTATGGAGTGTCAGACATACATCAACATGTGTGTACTATGTAGTTTCAGACATACATCAACATGTGTGTACTATGTAGTTTCAGACATACATCAACATGTGTGGATTATGTAGTGTCAGACATACTTCAACGTGTGTGTACTATGTAATGTCAGACATACATCAACATGTGTGTACTATGTAGTGTCAGTCATACATCAACGTGTGTGTACTCTGTAGTGTCAGACATACATCATCGTGTGTGTACTATGGAGTGTCAGACATACATCAACATGTGTGTATTATGTAGTGTCAGACATACTTCAACGTGTGTGTACTATGTAATGTCAGACATACATCAACATGTGTGGATTATGTAGTGTCAGACATACTTCAACGTGTGTGTACTATGTAATGTCAGACATACATCAACATGTGTGGATTATGTAGTGTCAGACATACTTCAACGTGTGTGTACTATGTAGTTTCAGACATACATCAACATGTGTGTACTATGTAGTGGGAGATGTACATCAACGTGTGTGTACTATGTATTGGGAGATGTACATCAAGATTTCTTATTTAAAGATAAGATAACATAATATATATATTTGCTTTCAAACAATCGCTATATCGTTATCAAATATCTGAACCAAATTATTTCCTCTTACTTCTTTGTGCTTCTTTTAAAGATCTACAATTAATGTATACATGTACGTTACTTAGAGTACCTGTACTTGGCTAATTTGACAG